TGATCTGATTGATGTTTCTCTCTCATTGATGTTTCTAACTCTCTATCCCTTTCCCTTCCTCTCTGTAAAAAATCAATAAAATATATTTTAAAAAATATTTAAAATCAATAAAAACCTATTTTTTTAAATCTCACCTAGTTTTATGCAAGAACTTCCTTCTGTCCTTGATTATCTACAGCCTGTGGACAAAGCAGAGAGAGAGAGAGAGAGAGAGAGAGAGAGAGAGAGAGAGAGAGAGAAAGAGAAATCCTTCTAACACAGTAGTCCTCAGCCTTAGCTACATATTAAAGCCTGTTGAAGAATTCTCAAAAAGTTCTTATGGCCCTAGCTGGTTTGGCTCAATGGATAGAGCGTCAGCTTGTGGACTGAAGGGTCCCAGGTTCAATTCCAGTCAAGGACACATGCCTAGGTTGCAGGCTCAATCCCCAATAGGTGGCGTGCAGGAGGCAGCCGATCAGTGATTCTCTCTCATCATTGATGTTTCTATCTATCTCTCTCCCCTCTCTGAAATCAATACAAATGTTAAAAAAAAAAAAAAAAGTTCTTATGGCTCTGGCCCGTGGTGCTAAGTGGTTAGAACATTGGCCCATGCACCAAAGGCTCAATTCCGGTCAAGGCAAGTACCTGGGTTGTAGCTTCGATCCTGGGCCCAGATGGAGTGCATTCAGGAGGCAACCATGTGTCTCTCTGGAACTGATGTTTCTCTCCCTTGCACTCTCTCTAAAATAAATAAATAAAATCAATGGGAAAATATCCTCGGGTGAGGATTAACAACAACAAAAATAGTTCTTGTGTCTGCACCTCACACAAACGATTCTAATTTAGTTTATATGAAGTGGGGCCCAGGCAGAGGTATTTTTAAAGCACCCCAACTGATTCTAACTTGGGGCCAGAGTTGAGGACCATTGTTTCAGTATGTGAGGCTCATGTCTGTCTCTGTCCAAACCCTCCAACACTTCCCATGTCACTCAGAGTATAACCCAATCGTCTACAGGCCATATGTGATCCCGCCTCTTACCTCCCTCTCACCCATTCTATTCCTCCCTCATTCACTCTATCCCAGCTACACTAGCCTTCTTTTTGTTCATTGAACAATTAAGGCACATTCTGCCTCGAGACCCTTGCCCTGTGGCCTATGCGTGAAGCACTCTTCACTTAGAAGTCTGCATGGCCCAATCCTTGACCTCCTTTAGGTATTTGCTCAACGGGCCCCCTCGTGGTGGTGCCTTCCTAGTCTGCCCTCTTTAAAATTGCAACCCCATGCCCAACTGGTGTTGCTCAGTGGTTAAGTGTTGATTCATGAAGCAGGAGGTCACCTGTTCTATTCCAGGTCAGGGTATATGCCTGGGTTGCGGGTTCAATCCCTAGTGGGGTTGGGGCGGGTGCAGGAGGCAGCCTAACAATGATTCTCTCTCATCATTGATGTTTCTATCTCTCCCTCTCATTTCCTCTCTGAAATCAATAAGAAAATGTTTTTAAAAATTTTAATTGCAACCCCTGCCCACCACTCTCTATTCTCCTTATTCTGCTCTATTTTTCTTCATAGCACTTGTCACTTCTGATGTATTTATTTACATTATCTGTCTCTTCTTCACTAAAATGTGAACTCCAGGGGGTCAGGAATATTAGTTAATTGTTTTGTTAATTGTTTTTAACTGGTAAATATTCCTATCACCTTAAATGCTATCTGACATCAGTAGGTGCTCACTCAATCTTTGTTGAATACCTGAATTTCTGTATGTCTATGTATTTTGGTGGAAGGCAGTCAAGCCCTTGTCTGAAACAGATGATGCCTGAAGCTGTGGGAGCAGATGAACAGCCCAGAAGAACATGGACATTCCGGCAAAGGAGCCCCCAAAATCAGCTCCCCATGTTCATACTGCTGAGTTTCTCCTTCATCTGCCTGGTCAACAGAGGCACCTGGACTCTTCACCCCACATCTCATCCTCCAGACAAGTTCTGTATTGTCCACTCTGCACTCCCACCGCCATCCTCTCCCCCAGACCACTGCCAACAGCCCAGCCTGGGTGCCCCATTGTTTCCCACATTACAGTCTTTTTAAAAATATATATATTTTATTGATTTTTTACAGAGAGGAAGGGAGAGGGATAGAGAGTTAGAAACATCGATCAGCTGCCTCCTGCACATCCCAAACTGGGGATGTGCCCACAACCAAGGTACATGCCCTTGACCGGAATCGAACCTGGGACCCTTTGGTCCACAGGCCGACGCTCTATCCACTGAGCCAAACCGGTTAGGGCACATTACAGTCTTAATGGTTTTTTTAAAACAAAATTTTGACGGTAACTTTTTCTTAATTAAATTTGGTCAAAATCTTTCAGTAGGTTCGCTGCTGCCCTTGGGGCCAAGTCCCAGCTCCCACGGGCCTTCTGTGCACTCGGGCGGGCCTCCCTCTCTAAACTCTTCCCTGGCCACTCCCTCCGCCTAGGGGCCCCAGGGCATAGGATCCCTCACACCTCGGGCCTCTGCTCAGGACCCAAAAGAAGGGACTTTATGGGGGAAGCCTCTCCTGCTGACTGCACTGCCTCATCCGGTCTCCCTGAACTTAACCTCCTGCACACTCACGGGTGACACTGGTTGGCAGCCTGTCACCCGCGTGGCTGGGCCCGACTTTAGAAAGTACTGTCATCGCAAGGCATCCGTGTGGGTCACTGCTGCGTCAGGAATGAGAGACAGCGAGGTGAGCTGCAGGGCGGCAGGAAGGGGGCCGGGAGCTAGTCCTGGAGGCCACGGAGTGATAGTGTGAAGGGTGTCCCGCTGCGTCAGGTCAGCGCGGCCCGAACCACCCTGGGAGGAGGAGCCCGGGGTCCCGAGCGGTGCCAGCTGTCCTCGCCTCTACGGAGGGCGCCGAGCTCTCCGTGCGCACACCCGGCGGGGTTGCAGGGTA